ACTGTTCCCTTAGTTTATTTCATAAAGAAAACTAAAAGGAGAGAAAAGCCGTTAAAAGTACACTCGCTCATGTCCACCTCCACTGACCCCACAACCTTCAGCGGGCCACAGTAACCATGAAAGCTGCTTCATATATTCACCACACAGAGAAGTTCCCGTCTGATAATCCAAAGCTAGTAAAGCATGTTTTTCACGTTCCCATTGAATCAACACGATGTTCAGTCAAGTCAAGCAGACACTGCAGTGAAAGGTCGTTTGCAATAACGATGGATGAAAATAAGCTGGGAGATATAGGTAGTGCTCCACCACATCCTGGGTCAGTACTGATCTGACCCAAAGAAGTGGCTCCTGGCTCTGGATCTAGAGGCTCTCTTTGACCCTCCCTGTTGCTCTTTATCTTTGAATGAAGTGCTGTGCACGATCTGGGATGTCCTGTCACGAAGCTTCTGCAGTTTGGGCTTCATCCTGCTCAGTGAGGACTTCCTCCAGAGGGGCATTTCCCTGGGTTGGCCCTCACTGTCCCCAGAAGCACAATCGTTGGAGTTCAGCTGGCTGAGGGGCTTCATGTTAGAGATCCTCCAGCGTCTTCCGTCCCTGAGATGAGAGTTCTCACCTGCAGAGCACTCACAGCCTCCAGCGATGCTCCGTATCTCCACGCTCACGTTGTCGGTGAGGTACTGGCAGGCCTTCCTCCCACTATAGTCTCTGATCTCCACATCTGCATTGTAGGTTCTGACCAGAAGCTTGACCACCTCCACGTGACCGTGCATGGCGGCGATGTGCAGAGGTGTGTAGCCGGTGCTGGATCGAATATCAATACTAACAGAAATGTTGTGCAGCTTGGCAAAATTAATAATCATGGCTATGAGCTCAGGCTTGCCGTGCTTGGCGGCCCAGTGCAGGCAGGTGAAGCCAGTCACAAAATCCTTCTTCAGGATGAGGCTGGGTTCTGCGGTGAGGAGGCGATGCAAGCTGCTCCACTGCCCGTCTGAAGCGCACATCATCCACTCGTGCTCCATAGGCTCCAAGGCTACAGCTGTCCTGTCTTCATCCAGGGTGGAGGAAACCATAGAGGTGGAGTCAGCTTCAGCCCTGGGGGACAGGTAAAAAGAGCGCCGAATCCCTGGGGAGCTGTTCATCATGACCTCTATGAAATGCTTGCGACTCCCTCTCGGGGTGCTGTTATCGTCACTTCCAGACAAACTGTGCGTATCTACGCGCTCCTCCTCCTGTGACTCCGGCGGGCCAAAGGGAGACCTGTGCTGGGACTCTGCAGACTTTCTGCACATGGTCACACTAAGCCCCTCTGCTGCGCTCAGGCTTTCCTGTGACTCAGCCTGCTGCTCAGCAGCAGTAAGTACCTGCCCCGTCCTACCGGTGTGTGCAGGCCCGGGTACGCTAAAGAAAGATCTCTCTGGAGCGAGCGGCGACGCTTCAGCCACTGTAATTTCTGGTACGTTGGGCTCTTTTCCAACCGGCTCCTTTCTGGACTCCCTGTCGTCTCGTCTGAAGCTTTCCCAGTTTCCCATCGCCTTCCAGCTGCTGTCCTCTGTACAAACACACCGAGGACACTTTGTCCTGTCAAATTCTTTCAGTGTTGAAATTATGCGGAACTCTGACTTGGCTGTTATTTCCGTAACCTGAACCAGGTGTTTCTCCTCACTTCTTGTTCCGCGGGCTGGCTGTAACGCATCCACTAAAACTACTCACAGCTGTGATTCACTGGACTTCTACTTGTTAAATACCGATTGCGCCAAAGCACCATTTTTCTTTGAAACAGGCAGCGCTTATGAAACTAAAATACTCGCAGACTTTTTATTTACACGTGTACCTGTGTGCGTAAAAACCCACGACGGAGTGTTAAAGCCACATTAGGAAAATATTATCGCTCAGTTTGAGAAGAAAATCTCTTGCAGAGGCTTTTTTCAAGGCAGTAATACCCGCAGGAGTCCAACTGGACCCCACCCAGTGTTTACTGGACAGGATACTGGGACTAAACCAGAACTGATGGGTGTCTGTGCCGCACTCACAGCATGTATTACAGTCTAACCTCCTGTTTCTTACGACTTTACTATAAAGCTTTTTCGAGGGAGATGTTATTATTTTAAGTGAAATAGTAATTTGGTGTATCATGTTAATAGTTCCGTTGGATACTTTTAAACTAATTATCTCTCGCTTCACTGTATACATTGTTTTATTGTTTTTACCTCTGATATCTGCGCAAAATGCTGAAGCGTTCTTGTCCTGGTGATTTTCTCAGAGCCGTTTTCAGCTCTGAGTCAAGTTAATTTTTAAAAAGTCAGGTTAGACAAATAACCAGTTTAACCTTTTCTAAAAACAATACCTGAGAGTAGCTATGAAAATATTCTGATAACATTTACATTTCTTTACGGCTGCTCATAATTTTACCGTCACATTTGTTCATTCTCCTTTTTTGTAATTCGATGAAGTAGGAACTGTTTTTAAATCACCTTCAGTCATGTATGTATTATTGTAGGGTCTGCCTTACAAAGCGCCTGAGACGACTGCTGTTGTGATTTGGTGCTGTATAAATAAAGTTGAATTGAAAATCTGTTTGTCTTCTGGGATTCTCTCACTTTGTAAATATAAATAAACAAGTTGACTTTTTCATTACCTGAACAGGATTTTTTTCCACCATCATTTAAACTTTATGCGTTAAATTTCCACCATTTGTGTCAGAGAGTTAGTTCTGTTCCAGGTTTGAAAGTAATAGTGACGCCACAATGATCAATAATTTTTATATTAAGGAGTGCGCATGCGTCAACCGGCATGCAGCCTGTTTCAGTTGCTCCCGCTTTTCTCTCCATACTTTGTCTTACTTTTAGTTAAAGTGCTCTGATTCAGATGAATGGCAGCTGCAGAGATGTTGGCTTGCGACACATTTAACAAATATCTTGGGTAACAAACCAAAAACTAATTCTTGATCAACAATTTCATTTGGGTCTGATCCATGAAAACCAGCTTATTATGGGGTTAAAATGTGTCCATACACCAATTACATTATTATTATTCAATTAAATTCAATGTTATTTATGTAGCACCAAATCACAGCAACAGTTGTCCTGAGATGCGTATTAAAAGAATCTTTGGATTGTGTTCATGGTATAAATAGGAGACTACCACACCATTCATCAGGGCCACAACTAACACCAGCTAATGTAAAGTCATCTGGGTATTTTGCTTTTAGATCTCCAATAACATCTCCAGTAATATCTTGTTCTTAGAGTCTCCATTATATCCACAAACATTCAAACGAATAAAGACAGACTGTTCGACATTCAAAACTGCAGAAATCCAGTTTGTTTCCTGGGAAACTGTTCAGGTGTACGGCTAATAAAACTGTCCCTCTATCATTGATTACTCCAAAAGTTCGAGTCTTCCTTACTGGAATTAATTTTATTGTAGAACGACTCAGAGTTCATCATTAGTTTACTTCAACATGATTTCTTCTTGAATCAGTCGCACATGAATATGACACAACATCTCCTCTTAGTTTCACAGGGTTACCTTTTCTCTTCACGACTCTTCAATCACAACATAATCTAAAATCCCCTTTTCAGTCGTACATGGTAAAGTCGGGGCTTCTCACATATAACACACTACCTGCTGCGCTCTCACAGCAGTGATAACAATGCTCCTGGGAGTCAGGGTCAAAAGGTCAGGCCTACAAATCCTTTCCATCACTCAGACTACATTTCTCATTCATGAGTTTGATTATATTCTGATTAGGATTTATTTTATTTATTTAAGTATTTATTTTCATTGTCAGAGAACAATGAAATTGCGTTTGGGGCTTCCGTACAACCCGTAAATAAAATAATGAAGAAAATAATAAATACCCCTTAAAACCCAAGTGTAAATATTTAACCCAGTGTGACTCCAGTACAACAAGACAATCCTTAGCAACAACATGAGAAAATGACAAGTAATGTTCATAAGAAATTCAGACAAAGACCTGAGAAACATGACAAAATACAACAATGCAACCCATTCAATATTATTGTACTGTGAGATATGATGTCAGATATGATAGTTATCTATTTAAGAAAGAGAATAAAGATATGATGCACCAATGCAGCCCAGCTCAGTGCTATTAAGAAGTTGGATATGGTTATTGTCCGTGATTAACCATGATTCAGCTACACGTTGCTGCTGCCACCAAATAAAACCATTCTGATGGTAAACCAGCAAACAGTGTCCAGTTAAACCTACTGATCGAGACGTTATCTGTGAAAAACACAATAAGTGTTAAAGCGCAACATTTTGTGCTTCCCTCAGTAACACGGTATGCTAACCAGCTCCATGTGAGGCGTTCGTCCGTTTACAGCTGGAACACTTTTGCTTCTTAGTGCTTGGGAGTATAAATCTATGAGACGTGTGTGGACGCTGCGCTCACCAAACCAAATGAAGACGCCACAGACATCAAACTGCTAGTAACTGACAAATGCTTTATTCCTCCCATGTTTGGGGCCTGCTTTTGTTACAGCTATGTACACATGTCAAACACAAGTGCTGACAGTACTGACGTGATTTTCAGAGACCACACCTCCTACGGCACCACCACCATCACATCGTGCCTTTAACTCATCTACTCCTGCCAGGTTTACAATGGTAAGTATCAAAAGTGTAAAAATCTGCTGGCATCATCCACACAGAGGTGAAAACAGCATCAGCCATGCTTTCAGGCAGCTTATAAAATAGAGGTTTGACTAAAAACAAAAAGCTGATCAGGTCACTGTGCTGTTTCTGTCAAAGCCTTCAGAGCTGGCAGGATGTCGTCTAGGTGGCTCACTCCTGTAACACACAGAGAGAAGAGCAGCAGTAGAAATCTCAGGCTTAAAGTCAGCTCGGCCAATCCCAGCCCAGGATCGTCTTAAAATCACATGACAACGAGCAGTTCACAACGAGTCAGTGCTCGGAAGGCACCCAACACCACAATGATTCTGACTGCGAGCTCCTGGAAACACCACGATCTGTTCATCTTCATGTTTCCTCAGTAATATTGGATGAGAGTCCTGGATTTATTTCTACCAAGAAGTCATTTGTAAATAAAATAAATAGAGTTGGTTGAATTTACCTAGAGTCTGTAAGATTCCTGTAACCAGGGCATGGAACGCAGGGAAGAACTCCTCGTGCTGTTTCACCTTCATGATGATGCTGAAAAACAGGAGCAAAGATTGAAGCAGGCCTGAGCAGCTGCCATCTGGTAGTCCAACTCATGTGTGAGAAAAGCAAACCTGTCAATATCAATGTCTCCCAGCAGCTCAGGAAACCTCGCCATGCTTTCAATGGAGGACACCAGTCTGGACACATGTTTCACAACTTCAGCAGGAGAAACGCCACCGTCTGACAAAACCACAGACAGCCCTGTTAGTCTCATGCTGAATGATGCTGAATGACAGTAATCCACTCAGTGTAATATGGAAGACTCTCCTGATTATGGAAGCAGCATGAAAGCTACTGCTGTGGTCAAGGTCAGGAGGAAGATGCTTGTTAGTAATCGAAAACAAAGAGTCACAGCCAGTGGAGACATGACACTAATCTAACCACACAAAAACAAAGAAGACGATACAGTTATACAAATATTCATTTTTGTCAGTCGGCCCCATCTAGTGGCCAAGGCGTGCATTAGCAGATAAGTGTAGGTGATGCTACCTGCAGGGAGTAGCAGTGTTCGGCAGGTCCAGGCCTCTACAGTCACTGCTCTTATGTTCCAAACACTCATTGTTTTTAGTTTACTCTGGACAGTGTGTCTGCCAACAGTTTTAATTAAGCACTACTGTGCAGTACTTTGGAATATCTTGGATGTGAAGAACGAGCAGTTCACATCCACATGTTTATACAGTCAAACAATGGATTATCATGAGGACGGTGGCACGGTGGTTAGCACTGTTGCCGCACAGCAAGAAGGTCCTGAGTTCAATCAATTCCAACATCAGGCCGGGGTCTTTCTGTGTGGAGTTTGCATGTTCTCCCCGTGTTTGTGTGGATTCCCTCCGGGTACTCCGGCTTCCTCCCACCGTCCAAAGACATGCAGCTTGTGGGGATAGGTTAATTGGATAATCCAAATTATTCACAAACTAGGTGTGAATGTGAGTATGAATGGTTGTCTGTCCCTGTGTGTTGGCCCTGCGACAGACTGGCGAGAGGCAGGGTGTACCCCGCCTCTCGCCCTATGACAGCTATCCCTGAAAAGGAGAAGCGGAAGCGAATGGATGGATGGATGGCATTAGCACTAGTACCTCCTCGTACAGGTCTACTCTGCCTCCAGGAGTGAGTTTGCTTATTTTAATGACTCTTAGTTACTTTTAACTTCAGGGTTTCAATCCAAACGAAGGAAAATGTGTCCAGGAGATGCTGATAGAAGCCCAGACTGTCATACTGCATAAATAACATCCATAACTAGGCACTGTGTGTAAGTCACCTAGATCAAGGATATCTCGAAGGTTCCTCATGGCATTGGTCATCTCTCCCAGTTTAGTGTAGACCTCATTCATACGGGGGTACACTCCTCGCAGAGAGGTGACGTCAAACAGCTTCTGAAAATGAGACACCATGGACTCCAGAGTGTGTCGAGTGGGGCTTCTGAGGACCTAACAAGGAAAGAAAACGCCACAATAAGCAGGCTTCTCTGAAGTATACGCTCAGACATGTGAGCCACCGCGCCCTGCAGTGTCATTTACACAACAGCCTGATAAAGTACTACAAACAAGAGTAACAAACTTGTACCTTATCATCAGCCGAGGCATTTTCCAGCATGGCGTCTACAAGCAGCAACATGTCTCCAACCTCTGCTGCTTCGTCAGTGTTATAACCACCATCGCATGGTTGTAAGGGCATTAGTCTGACAGACAGTTCTTTTAAACTGCACTGAAGACCCTACGTACAAGCACGCATGCACAGGAAGTTCATCTTCAAAGCAAACGTCACATACCTAACCGAGGGCTCGAGATAGTTTGGCAGGTTGTTGGTGTTTACCTTCAGCAGATCGAGCTGCTCTGCCCACACTTTCAGTGTAGACAGGACATCCTGGAAGTCCGGTCTGTGCACTCTCACAGGACCTTTATGATCAGTTACAACTGCACTGATCTCATTCAACAGCTGAAATTTCAGGAAAGAAAAGAAGAAATATTTCTGTTATGTCAGGAAAAAAGGCTCAAAGCAGTACGTGCCCGAGACCACATCAAGTCACACTTACATGATGATAGTAGACACACAGCCGGGCTTCCTTGGCTGGGTCACTGATGAGCTCGCTAATCTCAGCTGTGCCGTCTTGTTTTGGCGAGCTCCACAGGAAGTTGGCTCTGCGAATGAGAAATGAGATGAACTCCTGGATACAGAAATTCTGTTTAATTTCAGGAACAGGGGTCAAATTCACTTTGGTCCTCTTCACACGGTTAAAGTCTGGACAGCAAAAAACTCACGAGACTCATATTTAAACACTATTTGGAGGCTTTTTGTTTGTCAGTGGGAGTTCAG